TGTTTCTATTTTGAAGTGAGAATTTCCTTTTTAAAACCTACATTTTCTATTTGGTTATTACTAAACTAAATAAATCTACTGGTTACTATTATTATTTTTCTCCTGGATAGGTCAGATTCTATATAGTATGTCACGTGAGTAACATAAAGATTGAATAGCATCTCCAGAAGTCAAAAGATGAGGTAAATCTATTTTTAAGGACAAGAATATTTTATTTTATTAGACAAAAACTGGATGATCAAAAAGTACATTTGATTTTCAAGAAGGCAAGGGAAGAGAAGTAATAACTAGATATGAACAAGAGAAAAAATTTTGATGTATAAGTTTTTCTGCTAGACATTAGATCTGACTACAGAAATTTCTAGTTTAAAGTCTGAATCAGACTAAAATGGCGGAAACAATTACACAAATGACTGAGTATATTAAACTTAGTAGAGTTTGAATGATTTGCATCAAGTGACACTTAAAAATACTGAGAAATTCCAATGCAGGGTACTAGAAATCATTTTAGAGACATAATTGAATATATTCATCTTTTTTTTCTTTAGGGTAAATTTAAAATATACCTCAGAAATTATAGAATTAGTATCAAATGTTGAGAATAATGTAAAACAAATGATCAGGTCATCTTTTAGAAAAACTTGGAAGAGTGTATGTGGCTGCCTGATTTTGTAAAAGCAAATCATGTCAGACCAGTTTAGTTCTGTTTTATGACAGGATAACAGTCTACAAACATAATAGGCATTTGAAAAGCATAATTCCTTTTAATTTCAGTAAATGTTTTCTTCTGTTGTATATAACATATTATTCATAGGCTAAGAAAATATGGCTTGGTGTAGTGTTCTCAGTGGCTAGCTATCATTAACCAGTTTCCAACTGGATGCTGACATTAACAGGTGCTCACAGGAATTCCTGGTGGATTTCTTTGAAGGCAATAACTTGGTTGTAAACCTAAACAAAAGATTTGAGATGTTACTAATTAAACCTGTAGGTACTACTAAGCTACATACTGTTTTTGGTCTCTGGGTCTAAACTTCAGAACAATCTTGAAATATTAGAAGGAAAACTTCAGAAACATTAACCAACAACTAAGTAAGAAAACTAAGATGTGAGGAATGTCTTGGAATCCTTTGGGGGTGAAACAGCTGCATGGTATGAAAAACTGGCCAGATGGAATTTAAAATTAAAATGAAGATCCCAGTTATCTTGTGGGGCAGAAGTTGAGTTGGGATGTAAGAGTCAGGATCACCGTAGACAGAAATGTGATAATAATGAAAAGTACTTGTTAAAAGAGAACAAGAAAGAAATAAGGAAGGAGGGGAGGAAGGGAACGAGGGAGGAGGCAAACACAGAGTTTAATGTCCTGTATGTGGCCTATAAGATCCATGAAAGTCACTTCTGCCCAGGACTGGTCATGCAGTTATTAGAACATAATGTCTCATTTTCGTCCACACTTTTAGAGTGGATGTAAGTGATTTTGAAGAAGAGCAATGAGAAGAATTGAAGGGCTAGAATGTACATCCTGCGCTGAAAGGCTAAAAATTTAGAGTTGTTTGGATTAGATAAGGGATAGCCAGGGAATAGCTTCGTTATCATTTTCACGTAAACGGTTTTGTAGAAGATAACCCCCATTGGTGACTTCTCTGGTCCTCACAGGATGAAAAAGAGCACAAAGATGCTTAATTTCAAATCTGAAAAGAGCGGATTTGGACCTAAACGCAGATGTCAGTCATCAGGGTAAAGTAACTTTGAAATGGTTTCTAAAGGAGGTTCAGGCCAAGTAGCAACGTGTCTCCAGACTGGATATAATGTTAAGTGTGACATCGAGTCTGAGAAAGATGACCTGAGTCATAGGGTAAGCTATATCCCACAGGCCAAGTTGGACCCACCACCTGATTTTTGTTTGTATGTGGTGCTGAGGATCGAACCCGGGCCGCACGCATGCCAGGCGAGCGCGCTACTGCTTGAGCCACATCCCCAGCCCTCAACCACCTGATTTTTGGATGATCCATTAGCTAACTATGACTTTTACATTTGCAAGTAGTTGAAAATAAAAATTTTGTAACAAAAGAAAATTACGTAAAATTCACCTTCGGTGTTCGTGAATAAAGTTGTACTGGAACACAACCACACCCATCCCTTGGTGTTCTTGTTGGTGGCTCCTTGGGCCCCTAACCATGGCAGAACTGAGTAGCTGAGATTGAGATGGTAGGTCCACAAAGCCTGGCTATTTGGGACCCTGACCTAGATGATCACAGCACTTGCACAATGTGTAGATTTTACCTCCAACATCTAGAAGCTTTCCTTGTTGTAAAAAAAATGAACACCTCTGGGGTCAGCTGATGAATACAGGCAGCACATCCTTTGAAGGGTTTTTGACAGGGCTTTGGGTCCACAGAAGAACACACCGATGCTGCTGCTGGAGGGGTAGGAAAAGGGAGCAGTGTTACCCAGGGCAAGGCCAAGACAATCGCAGAGCTCGGAGGGGCTGTGGATGTAGGCTGCTTATTCATTTACTGACCTGCATCCATCCACCTCCTTTTTCCTTAGATTCCCTCTTCCTATTTTCAGCACCTTGCTCCCTCCCAGATTCAGGGGTTCACCCAGATGGCTGTGCAGGAGGTTTTGAGAGAGAGAGGGTGTCACCTGGATTTTTGATCAGGTGACCTTGATTAGCATCTTCTTGGATCCATGGCTAGAATATAAGCTTCCTGAGAGCAGAAACCCGATCTGGTGTGATCCCAGCCCTCAGGACAGTGCCCAGCATATAAGACAGTCAACACATCTTTGTTGAAGAAAAAGGTCAAGTTGATTATGATCTCTATGCTCTTGGGCAAGACCTGAGATGTTATTTTCCATAGATATAAAACCAAGACAATAATTACATGATATGTTTTATTTACATTATATGTTTTATGAAAAGCAAAATGAGATAATGCATCCAAAATGGTTTTAAAAGGGTGAGTTAGTACTAACATTCTGCTCAACCCTGCCTTTTTTATAGATAATAAAATTTATACAGAAGTAATAGCAACTTGATTTATTTCTTCTGTTGGAATTACTTTAATTTTCCAAGAAGTCCAAAACAAAGAGATGGAAGGAAAAAAGACATTGCTGAAAATGTGGTCAACAAACGCAGTCCTCTACAATTATGACATCTTGGATAACATGGCTGAGGAGATATTTTTACATATGGTGACTATTCCAGGGCGGCTCAAATCCCTTGTGACATCACAGTGCCAGCCTTCAGCTTGTCTCTGGAAGTTGTGATGTTTGTGGGTCTAGAGGGAGTTACAGAGATGATGTCTTTTTTTCCCCTTGTTTTGAATATTATTATGCCCTGTAGCATTTTTCCAGTCTTTGGCATGAGCCAAATTAGTTACTCTAGTCCAGATCAAAAATTCTCCAACTTTACCATGCTTCAAGTCATCTAGGAAGATGGTTAGAATGCAGATTCCTTGGCTCCAAGGAATGCATGGTTAACATGGAGCCTGGGTAATATTGACACACAATGTCCTGGGAGCTCCCTTTGAGGAACTGTCTTAGGAACATTCTTCAGACCCAGGACCAGTGCACTCTCCGGTCGTACTCCTTCAGATCTGGCTTTTGTTGGGGAATGCCTACATAGCCTAGTTCATCTTAGCTGACACAGAAGCAGGGTTCTCTGCCGTATCAGAGCCACCTTTTAATTATGTGTTCCAGAACTGTAATAACCATGGTGGAAGTCGATGGTTTAATGATATTTTAGACTAGCTTCAAAAGAACTTATCAAATGGCTTCATTTGTAAATGAAAATATGTTTAAAATGTGTAAGTACGACTCTCAAAGATATCATTCCCCACAGCTAAATTTGACAAAGTAATTTTTCAGAAAATATTCCCTAGCCTGAAAAATATGACTTAATGAAGCAATTTACAGGGGGTTGCAGAGCGAAAGGACAGGGTCAGGGTGCTGTTGGTTCCACCACTTGGCTGCTGGGTGACTTTGGGCATATTAATTATCTTCTCAAAGCCCCCATCACCTCATCTGTAAATTGAGGAGCATAAATCTAGTTTCCAGCTCCTGGAATCTCTTCTGCTCTCGCAGCATCGCTGTGAAGACCAGGTTGGCCGCTGCAGGTCCAGATTTTGGCCTCAAGTGTGGCATGTGGTGATTTCTCAGTGACTCTTAGCTTATCTTCGTCATTATGACACACTGTGTCTGCAGGACTCTGCCTACTCCACGTAGCTGAACAGGAGTGGGAGGGAGGGAGGTATTAACTCGGAGGCGATGATAGACTTACTTGAATCAGCACTATGTCTTTTGAGCTCTGGAATGAAACATTTTGAGTGATGCATGAGTCAGGTAAAACCCTTTCCAATGAGAAGTCACAGCTCTGCTTTGTGTCTGATGCCCAGAGGGACCCTTGCATCCATTTTTCAAAGATGCTGTTATGGGTGGTGATATTTTTCCATTAGTGTAGATGTCACCAAAGAGATTGCCCACTGGCCCACTCCCAACAGGCTAAGATGTCCTTTCGTTTACAGCCACAGTCACTGTTTGCAGGAGCCAATGGTGCTCTTTGATGCTCTGCCTTTAAAACTCCATTTCAAAGGCTTCTGATTGCTGGCTGCCAGGTGTACCACTGGTGTCCCCAGCGGTTCACAGCTCCCCTGCCCCTTTGAAGTGATGGCTATTACACTGCACAGCTAAATGCATACTTTTCTGTACTCAGGGTCCATAACTGTCATGGTTATGCGATTGCCAAAAAGTCTTACAAAGGCCATTCATTATCTATCTTTGCTTTGACCAAAAGGTCAGCCCTTCACCAGCTGGCTGCACATCACTGTCCCCAAGCAAGGCATTCTGTTGCCTGCCTGCTGTTGCCCTCTTGGCATTTACAATTCCAAGTATGAAGATTTCTTGTCACGAATGCCTACCGTGAACCACGGGGCCGAGATTCCGTGAAAAGCGGTTAAGGCGTAGACGCGGCAGTTTTAATTTTTTTATTTTTCTTTTATGAGGCAATGGACAAATGCAAAGGAACCCTAATGGGGTTGGTAAAGAAAAAAAAAATTCTTCTATAAAATTTAATTACCCACAATTGCTCAGAATTAAAAAAAAAAAGATTCTCTGCAAAAGAAGTATAAAACCACGAGACACTATTTATTCTCGGGTTTACAGCTGCAAGCCGTGGAGTTTGCACAGGCGAGAGGAGCTGGATCAGGGACAATGTTAATGGCATTGATCAGTCTGGGCTGCTGACTTTGATGAGAAAAGGACACATTTCACATGGGCTGCAAAGATGGTTAACATTCACAGCATTATTTTTAGCTCTGATAAACAGTAAGGAAAATCCTCCTTTCTCCTTCTATATTTGCTAAATAACTACTGTGCTCTTCTCTGTGGGGCTGGTGTATTTTTCAAAACAGGGCAGCGATACCATGCATGAAAGGCATCCAAAATATCACCCGCCAGGAGATTTCAGCCAGCAGATATATGGGAGTGTGGGTGCGCCTGGGAGTAATCCCACCACCTTGCTGGATTCCCACGTTCTGCTGCCGTGAGCTCTTCTCTCTTTAAATTGTGTGTTTGTTTTTATGTGTTGGCTTTTATGCTTGGTAAGTTATAACCCTGTAGGGGCAGACCCTAAACCCCATTTTAAAAAAATCAAATTACTTTATACCCTGAGTGCATTCTGCAAGTAAAATCGATAAACAGAAGGTTCCCGTGGATTTATGGAGACTTAGAAAGAAGGCACCGAGAGCTATAGACCCTGTTTCACACAATGGACACAACTTCTGGTTAATCTTTCCTAGTGAGTGTTTTTCATTAGAAAACCCTCCAAATGATTTATCACATAATTATAGTTTATACAACACCTTCTTTTTCATAAGCACAGATGATAATTGTGCTGGCCAGCTTTTTTTTTTTTTTTTTTAAACCTATCTTCCAGTCCGTTGTAGCTGCTGGCTGCATGACTTTCCTCTGTGTGTTAATTACTGGGCTGTTCATTACTTGCTGCAGACCCACCTAACAGTGCTCTGGTGTGACTCTTCTGCCCACTTCCCACCAGCTTCATCTTCTTTGGCAGGCTGAGACGTCTGGCTAGGACTCTGGTCCTAGCTTTCTCCTCCATCTCTCCATCTCTCCTCTTGCTCATGCTGGCTACTGCCAGGCTCTGAGGTGTATGGATAAAACTGCTGCCCTTGAGGGACTTAGGATCTTATAAGGGAGAAAAATAAAAGCAGCTAACTTGGAAGCTTTGGATTTCTGAAACTGGTAGAGCCATTTCCCCCCAATCCTATTCTCCTCCTCTACCCCAACAAAGCACTAAAATATATACACTTCATGCATAAATAACCTGCTGCCACAGCTCATAATTTGATAGATAACATCATCAAAGCAGCTTTGCAAAGCAATAAAGAAACCACCTTCTACTTTCTTACTCTCCTCCCTAATCCCCCCAACCACACGTAGAGTAATTCTAGTAATTTTTGTTGTATTTTCACTTGGTTCTAACCAGAGAGGCAGATGCCCTCTGGTGGGAAGGTACAATTTAAATATGCTGACAATATTCGCATCCTCAGTTTACAGTGGCTTTATTTTTCTCACAAAGCTATAATTTATCATGTGTTGGATTTTCATGTAAGTCTACTTCTTTGAGTGTTTTGAATATTTTAGTCATATAATGAATGTTTAAGATATCCTGTTAGATAAAAGACCTTGTGTGCTAGCCTCTGAATGCTAATGTCTTAAAAATATCATTGAAAAACATTTTGCACATATGCACGTACAAATGAGAATTGAAGGGTGTGCACACAAGCAAATGTGGTTCCAGATGGACACATTTACTCCATTTAGTATAAAGGTATTTTTACATTTCTGAAAACAATGGGTGGTCTAAAATACATTCATGCAATATGGATCCGAAGCCCCCAATCATGTGGCAAGTTGACACCTCTTTTCATTGTTGGGTTGGGTCGAACTGCTTTAAAAAGGGATGTCATATGCTTATTCTTCCCGTCAAGATAAAAGAAACACTTCTGAAGTTTCCAAAAGTGGCCAGAGCTTTAAAGTTGTTATGATAATTAATTACATAAAGTTTACACCTAGGAGGCACGGCCAAGTTATTAGCAGATAAGTCAAAAGCAGCAAACTATAAATATTATCTGAAGCGTAAGATCAAACGCGGAAGCCCTATGGAAAAACCTCATATTCAATTAATTAAAAACAGCTGATCCAGAAATTCAGAAGGTTGAGCACATACACAAAATGTGCGTTTGACAAAGGAGTAGCTTGATGTGACAAAGCTATATTTATTTTCATTCCGTCTACCTTCTTGGCAATGATCAGCTGACTCCTGAATACTCGTCTGTAGCTTGGGAACATATTGAGGGTGTTGACCAAAACAATGAAATTTAGCTTCCCCTTGGTAAAAGACACATTTCTATAGATTAATAAGACATAGATGTCAGTGCATTATTTAATTAGCCTACTATATTTTAATTAGGAGAATGATTTTCATTGTTTTTGTTTAGAGTGCTTTTTTGTGTTTGTCTAATTGAAGCAATAAACAACAATTATCACAGGCATGTGAGTTTGGTAATAGCAATAAAAGACATTATTTTATACATATACTTACTATTTGCTGATTGCCTTTTAAAGCTATTCTTTTGTTTTTGCAAATTCAGCTGATATAATTACCAATATTAATGACAAATAAAAACAATAGATACGCTTTCCTTTTTTCTATTTCCAGCCTTTGATCTATTTTTAATTTCTCTCCCCTCTTCCTTATTTGTATTCGTTTTGATGCCATCAATTTGTTTCTCTATTACTGTTATTTTTGCAATTTTCTGTTTCCTTTAGAGCTTGCCCAACTCTCTTTGATCTGCTTCCCTTCAAGCTTTATTTTTGGTGCTGTTTTTCATGTTCTATAAAAAATACTTTTGCCCCTCTTCCCTTTATTCTTTTGATTTAACTCCTTCTCAGAACAAGAACCAACTCTAGCTTTGAGTGAACAGGTAAATGTTTTTTCAAGAGCAAGTCCTGAGAATCCTCGGCTTTGCACTGATGAATAGACATGGTGGAGAGCCTACTTCAAAGGCCCTCGAGAACAAAGGACCTTTCTGAGACCACTAGCAAATCTACCAATTCCTTCTGAACCCTCTTTGCCAAAAGATAGGAGCTAACACAGGACAAGCCTGTCTGCAGGAGTGGCCAAGTGGGCTTAGGAACAAACATATCCTTGACATAATAAGGGGAAAACATACTGTTTATCTCTTTAATAAGCATCCTGAGGAAAATTAATGTGACTTTGTCCTTTGTGCAGAACAGTAATTGGATTGTGTGTTTCATTTCTATCTGGACAAAGGCCAGGATATTGAAATACTTTTCAATATTAGATTTTCTTGTTTAAAAATTAGATTTTATTGGCATTCTCTTTCCGAGATTTCTTCATTAAAAGCTTCATTAAACATAAATCTCCTTTTACACAGCAGAAAACAAAAATTATTGCAACGAGGTCATTTTGAACGTCTTCTAGAAGGGCGGGGACAGCTTCCTTGCTGGAGACTCCTCTCTCCCAGGGACAAAGTAACAACTGACTTTGTGGGCATGAGTCTGATATTTGTCATATTGAGGTTTGAAACTATATAACAAGTTGCTGTGTTCTAGAGTCTTAGGCTATTCCAAATATGGTATTTTAAGAAAATCTTGTTGGATGTGGTGGAGCATACCTGTAATCCCAGTGGCTCAGGAAACTGAGGCAGGAGGATTGCAAGTTCAAAGCCAGCCTCAACAACTTAGTGAGGTCCTAAACAACTCAGTGAGACCCTGTCCTAAATAAAATACAAAAAAAAAAGGTGTGTGTGTGGGGTGCTGTGGTTAAGGGCCCCGAAATTCAATCCCAGTACCAAAAAAAAAAAATTGGGCTAGGAAGTATGCTGTAGAGGCTTGATTCAATGACATGCAAACCTGGGGGCCTCTTCTCTCCTGAAAGATGCAAAGTCATCCGTGGGGGAGAGAGAGTTTGCAAAGCTAATGTGCTGAAAAATGCAACTGGACATCAAATACATTTCTGCACTTCGATTCCAGCCTCTAGAAAGAAATGAACACACTCCTGACAAGGCAAGTGGGGAGAGTGACAGCCACAGTTTTCCCAGCTTAAAACTGTTTTTGCTGCTCACTCCCTGCAAAAATTGGACAGGCTCACTTCTCAGCCCTGCAAAGCATAATTTTCTGGGCAGAGTTTGTGCAAACCCAGTCTTACCCTCAGTCTCCTGACGCACCGTGTTTCTGGCTCACACTTTCTGAGGGGAGAGAGATAATGAAATGGTTTGGTTTGAAAGGCCTTCCCCACTGGGCTGCAGACTTCATGTGTAACAGAAATAAACAAATGCGCTGTGGGATGTCAGTAAGAGAGGAGCCTAATAAAGAGCCGGACTATCTATAAGAGCTTACAAGATATATAGATCCCTGTTTAATGCCTGCAAAGTGGGAAAATTCCTTTTGTGATAATTGAAAACTGAGTGCAAAACATTGGTCAAAAATAAACTTTCACCAAAAGGTGAAAGTAGGAATAACCCACCCCCCAACCCCCAAACCCTAGTGATCATATATGAGCTTTGGACCTCTTAATTTCTACCTCTAAGTATTTTAAGGAATCTGTAGATGAAATTAACTTGTTTCTGCACTGGACAAGAACTGGATGGGGGTAAGGTGACCGGTGGTGACTCTCAGGGCTCAAAGAGACTTGGGCTCCAGGATCCAGGAACAGGTGTTGAGAAAGGAGCCCAGAGGAACTGGATTCAGAGGATCTAGAAGGTAGGATGGGTTGGCAAAGCCTGCTGGAGAGAAGGTGGCGCTCCAGCCCTGGAGTCTAGGCCAGGTGTCCACAAAAGCCAAGGCTAGAGGCAAAGGGGAACAAGTGGACTCGTGGATGAGGGGCCTGGAAAGAGCCTCCAAGGCCACTTGCCACAGGTTGGCAGCTCTTCTGGGGCATCTAAGGCTGAGCCCCTGGAGTAAAAGTGAGACTTTGCAATTGATTGTGCAGCTGGTCCACTTCCACCCCAACCTTGAAGCTAAAAGTTGTTGTTTTTTTGTTTTTAACTTTCTTGTTGGAAATCTGTTGCTCTCAGATGACTCAAGGTCAGGAGGAAATTTCCACAGACATTCCCTCAGCCTGTTTTTTACCCAGGGCTGTGGGCTCAGGAGCCTCCTCAATGAATACTCTTGTCTTGGGTGCAGGCTTTCTCAGGCAGGCTGTCCAGGAAGAAGGGCTCAGGGAGAGCTGGGGCAGCTGAAGTCAGAGTGACTTCACACAGAAGGAGGACACTGGAACTGTATGCCTAGGAACCCCGAGGGCCTCTGGTTACTTCTTCCACGCTTCTCTCTTCACAAAGCTCCTTCAATAATGATCCAAAGAAGTCTCACAATGTAGTGACAAATAATAAAGAGTAAAATGGATAGTTCTGGCACAAACAGACTACATGCAAAAAAATAAAAATGTAAGAAGGAGCTGAACTGACCTAAATAATATTCACCAAAAAAAAAATTCTATGGAGCAGAAATAAATACTAGGAAGCTACAAAAAGGTTAATAAAGCATAACTCCTATGAAAGAAGACCAGAGAGCAGAAATGTAAGGAAGCTGCATGGAGAAGTCACAGGTGATAGAGATGTAGTCAGAAGAACCCTAGGATGTTTTAATTTAATTCTGATAAAGTGGACAGAAAGAAGGTTGGGCTATGGAAGACCTAAGTAGCATGGTTAATAAGGTAGATAAGAATAAGATTTATTCAACTTTGGGACCTGCACAGGAGAAGGCTTTTCCCTACCCTCCAAATGTTGTGGGTTTTGGAACTCTTGTTGATCTCTCTCTACTGTATTGGTCATCTCATTTGGTGTTATGGCCTCCAACCCAGCTCCTGCCCTGAAATCATGATGCGTACGTACCACTGCCTACTTGACGCCAGTATGTGTAACAGGAATCTTCAGCTGAACATGTCAAAGAAAAAACTCCTGAAAGCCTCTGACTGACAACCAGAACGCTTACAGTGCCATCCAGGTAGAAATGGGGACTTCATCCTGGTTTGGCTCATGCCTCATATCCAACCCATCAGCAAATCAGGTCAGCTCCCTTTGCAACCTGCCCAGGATGTAAGGGCCTCTCAACACCTCCGCTGCCACGCCCCGCCTCCACCAAGGTACCTCCACCGCCCACTGCCTGCCTCTCCACTTCTGTCCAAGGCCCTACTATTCCTTAAAGCAGCCAGAGAGATCTCATGTCACTCCTGGGTTCAAACCTCTAAAAGGCTTCTCCTCTGTGAATAAAATTCAAAGTCTATGATGATCTGCAACTGTCCTTTCTCCTAAATGCAACCCCCGGTTACTCTCCCTCTCATGTCCTCTGTCCCAAACTACTGGCCTCCTGGATCATGGCGTCTCCTGCCTCGGGACTTTGCTTGTTCCCAGACGCCTACTTGTTTCACTCCCTCACTTCCTTCAGTTTTGCCTCAGATAGAGAAAATGTTCTGCCTTGATGACAATATTAGAATCTACTGACGTTCAAGAGCCATAGATGATGAGGGTTCACTTAGGGAGTTAGAAGAGCAATGATCACTGTTTGTGTTACTGCTTTATACTTAACTTCTTAACATACTGTATAATTTTAAAAAATATGAAGACAACACCATGAATATTATCATCTGTATTTTACAGTGGGGCACAAAACCTCAACCAAGCTGGCTTGTCCAAGCTCACCTATCTAGAAACTTCTAGAACCAGGAAATATAGGCTTCACTCCAGAGCAAGTGCTCTTTCTTCTTTACATTAAAATTTATTATATAATGATAATAATAACATTAATCTTTGAAACAATAATAGTAATATCAGCAGCGGCAGCTAAGCTCATGGAGCACTGTGTAGTGAGCACTATTTTAGGCACCTTACATTCATTCATTCACTCCACACTTAAGTGCTTGGGCTCCAGTTCCTGAGTCCTTAACCACTACCTTAACTCCCTGCTCAGTCTTAGAACATGTTCTCTCTGCTTTTGCTAGACATGCTAGATACGCTGTACGGTTGGACATAAGTGAATTCTCCAGTTGGGTAATTAGAGATAACTGTGCTCACCAAAGTTTTCTTGAAGGCATATGTTGTTTAAGAAATATCATCTTTAAATTGAGGTTAAGTGTGAAAATTTTCAACATAATCAATAATTGTCAGAGGCTGTAAGCCAGTTAAGCAGAAGTTTGTGGTTCTCTAAAGGAGATGTGCAGTACTGACTTCAGATTCACTTCCCGAGTCAGCAGTAACTTGCATTTCTCGGGGGAGGCTCCCAGCAGGCAGAGGAAAGAGAGCTCGCCTTACTCACCTGGGGTGGTTGTAGGCTATCTGCTTGAACTCGTTGTTCCAGTTGGGTCTCCCGTAGAAGGTTTTCTGCTTTAAGCCTGTAATCACATCGGTGTTCTCATCCCAATGTAAAGCTATGTGAATAGCCTAAAATAAGAATTGTGGTATCAGATGACATTTAGAACAAAAAGTAGGAGCCTCCTATAAATAAAGGATCATTAAGCTCATGTGTAGATTTGATACAAAAAGCCTTTTTTACAGGACTGGAAATGCTTATCATTATTAGCAGATACCATTGATGTTGCCTTTTAGGACAGGTATCATATTTCATGTATCTTTGCATTGAACCTACTGAAACGGTACATAGTAGGTATGCAATAATATTAGCCTAAGAAGGATATTTTTCTTTGAAAGGATGAGAGCCATACAGCAAATGTGGCTAAGGGAAAGCAACACTAAATGATTTCCCTTTTTTTCTGCCAGACTTCTTAAAAATTAATCTCCACCTGCTGTCCCTTTTTGCTTCATATTAAATCCTGAGGATTTGAGAAGGGCATTGCCAGATTAACGTGCCATGAAATGTCCAGGAAGAAGATGGGTCTCATGGTCAGATTTGCCTACTGGGTTGAAACAGTTTGATGTACAGTGGTTCCTTGAAATCCTTGGGGGACTGGTTCCAGGACTGCCCCTTCCCTGCAGATACCAAAGACTGAGGATGATGAAACCCTTTATAGAAAATGGCACAGTATTTGCATATAACCTATGCAGATTCTCTAGTATTCTTTGCATCATCTCTTGATTACTTATATATAGTATCTACTAGGTTGAAATCTGCACTTACAGGTGTGGAACCTATGAATAGGGAAAGCTGATCTTATACTGAGAGCCTTCAAATACTGGGAGGCTGTTGAGGCTGGCAGATAGGACATGGAGGCCAGAGCACAGCAAGGGGCATGGTGGGAGCTCTGTGCCCAAGCACTTGCCTTTGAATTCAGCGAATCCACTACTGCATCATGTCAGCCAATGAATAAGCAAGCGATTGAGGTGTATGGTTCCCTCGTGAGAGTGTTTTCAGTGGCTGTCATTGTTTTAGCTCCTGCTGAATTCTGGTAGCTACCCCGTCCTTTCCTCACGGGTGTGTGACCTGCACTACCCTTAGACCCATCACAAACCTTTGTGCTCACTTGTCTACACTTTGGTGCTTGATTGGCTTCACCTTCTGACTCTTCCTAATCCTGAAAGTCTGGGTAACAGACAACTCATGCCCAAGTTCCCACTGCACGGCCTTTTTCCTCGTCTGAGAAAGAGACCTGGGCCATCGAGGATCTGCTGGGAATGACGGAAGTGGCCCCAACAGGCCAGCAGATAATGGCAAACTGGAATTTCAGAACTCCAGGCTACAGGAGGTTTCCATCAAGCAAGTTTGACTCCAGGTAGCAAGACCACTAATGGAGAAGAGTTTGGGATTAGCATTCCAGGCAAACAGAGAATGGGGAAGAAAATGGCAGAGGTTTCTGAGTGACCTGTCAGGGAGGGGGACCATTAAGAACAAAAACATGGTTGTTTTGAAACATCAATGGCAGGATGTGCAGCCACATGTTCTGCAGCCCTGGCACCAGAGGAAACGGATGGGGCTTGATGGAGCTAGGTCAGGTTGGGAAGGGCCTTCAGCACTTGCTAAGAAGTTTGGACATTATTTCGTGAAGGCCTTACTTACTTCTCTTTGTAGTGCCGCCAATCACTGATGTTCAAACATTTGGAATTATATTTGTTCCATATTTCTCAGCCCAATGTTCAATTAATCTCCAAACTCTTTTGATTTGCCCTTCATAATACTTCTTCCATCTGTCCCTTCTGTTCTTGTCATTTTGCCACTTTGAGGTTGTTGAATTCAGTCTAACAATTGGCTATTTCTATAACAGCCTCTTGATGCTTGATTTACTGACAGAATGCACCAATTATTTTTTCCTTAAATGTTGAGATTAGTGATTTCTTGCCTGAAACTTGGGAGTCTAAAGGATGTCCAACATGTCATGGGAAAAATTTAAGAAAATATCTATTTTAATTTACTTTTATTTAGGAAAAAATATATACTCTATTCTACTCTTGGAAGTGGCAGAGATAGGAAGGAGAGTGCAGGGTTGCATTGGCACCAAATTGACTTCAGATCTCAGCTGGGAGAACCCAAGTCTCATAACTCCCAAAAGACAGGAGATGTCTAAGCAGACACTGGGGATCAATTTTCTTTAGAAGTAGAAGATAAGGCATAGTTTTGGAAAAGAAAAGTCAAAAGCTGTCTCTATACTTCACCAAATGGATCATCAGTCAAAGATCCCACTTGAATAAGGGAAATGTTTGTTTAGAAAACATAATTAACACTATATAATTCATTAAGATGTTTTAATCTTAGTTTCCAAGAAACTCGCATTTCAAATTATCCCAGAGGATTAAATATTTAAGAAGGACTGTAAATAAGACCATAAATTTCATAAAGCTACTGAAATCCAAGGAAAGTCTATTCATTTGCAGAAGGACAAAGCCAAATTATAGCAATGTTCTACAAGTGTGTGTGTGTTTGTGTGTGTGTGTGTGTGCATGCTTGTACTGACACACACAGAACATTGATTTATAAATTTAGTGATTAATCAAAACTCATTGGCTCAGACTAACTTCCTTGGAGGTAAACATCAATGATAGTTGCAACTGAGATGCTGATTAGAATATATATTTTATAGCCTAGTAATCACTTTATTGTAAACTCTAATATTTGAGGAGTTGAACTGGATTCACATGTACTTGTCATCATTCAATATTATAACATTGACCTATTACTGTGGTCCATGTTTTAATATACATTATTTTCGGTAAACTCAGACTCAGTATTTCATTAATACCATGGATTGCAGAACATCTGCCTAAGCAAAGATCATCTTCATCTCAGGTAAACAGACACATACATACACCCACAGTTTCTAAGAACACCTTAAAGAAAAGAAATCTCCAGATAAACCATGCATCCCTTATTATTTTCTGTAGTTACTCAGATACTTTTCAATGAAAAAGGTTCAATATAAATACCTGGGAATCTTTTCTGTTTAATTCTGAACAGCTCAAAGAATGGAATTAAAATCAATTATGAACTCAACAGATGATATAACCAATCAATATTTGCTTGATGTCACTCTTAAAGTGACAAATGCAAACTTCTTTGGGATTTCCAATCTGGATTGTCCTCTGCTGTCCAACCTGTTTATCTTCTTTTCTATTCCACGGTAAGATAACTATAGGTCCTTTTATTGCTACGATTTATAGTTCTTTTTAATCTGGTTTTATTTTACTCTCCTTTCCTTTTTAGGAACATAAAGATAATTCTTTCATGCTGCAAGATAACTAGATAGCTCATGACTGAAACTGTTCCTTTTGTGTTAAGCAAGCCAGGTAATGATGCTCATTCTCAAAATCTTATCGATACCTGATTTTCATCCCAGCCAGTAAGAAATATATGATAACTCAGAAAGTGAGCTCTCCCCTGCTCGCTCATCCGTGTTTCCAGTGAGAGTAAGAGATCAGCAAACCATTCAAATGCCCTTGCATCCCGGCAAATCCAGTAGAAATACACCTGTCAGGAGAGAAGGCAGAACTGAGCCATCTCTTTTTTCATAATGTGCTGATAATCACAGACTACTTTATCTCCATTAAATTATTTGAGCCCAAATGGGCACTTCTGCAAAAATAACATGCTTTTCTTTGCCAGTGAACAAACTGTCACACTGTGATTTCTTTTGAAAAAATTCACATTGTGTTTGAAAAGGCCCAGAGTGAATTCAGAGTCAGGAGCCCGTGGGCTGTGCCAGTTCCTCTGGATGAGGATCAACTCACCACATTTCTGGCTGTGTTTCTTCTGAACAAGATTAATAATCATAACTAGCTGTGCCTTTCACTGCTCCCCAAAGGGGATAAGCCGTTAGACCAACCCCCTTCATCTTTACTTATGACCTAAGCTCGGGATTTCAACTCTCTTCTCCAGAGACCCCGAAGGCTTGGGCACTAATCCACTTCACCAGCCGAGGCCTCTGGAGAATGGAGATTATGGTAATTGTGGAATCAAGCCACACAGGCCAGAAATCTCTGCTCAGTGAGACATATCAGTGTCCAGAAAGGCTGGTGCGTGGGGGCTGTGCCCGTGTGTCAACTGCTGTAGTGAAATTATGTCCAGGGAGATGACTTTAAAAAAAAAAAATCAACAGCTCACTGGATTGAGCAAATGGCAAGTGACAAGGAGAGTTTTCTAAAACAAAGGCTTAGTTTTTGGGCTGTGAGTTTCAGAAAAATGCATCTAGAAGAAACCATGGGAGAAAAATCTGTTAATTCTCTGCATTTTCCTCATACTCCTACCCATTGCTGATACTACTCTTTCCTGCACCAAGAGATATCCCAGGAGGTATCTCCAGGCCTTAACAACATCTGTGGGGCTGGACTCGACCCCAGGCACTGCCAGGTGTGTCTCCAAAGGCCAGTGTTCTCCCTCTGTGCCAGCCTGCCTGCAAGCTCACAATCATGACATCAGATTTATAGATGAGATTTAACTAATAGATCAAATACACGAGGAAAAGGAAATTGCGGAATGTGTACAAGGCTAGACATCTCATCAATCCTCTTCAGATTTTTACAGAAATCTACAATATTAATAGGAAGAGCAAAAGCTGGCAGAGTAAGACCCTTCCACTCAAGAATTAGAGACATGTTTGTTGGGCAGCTCCTGCTCAGAAGACACTTAAAATATTAATCCCAGGACAAATGATTCCTCAGTCCCTAAACACAAAGGATCCTCCTTCCTGCACCCTGCTGAAAAAGAAAAAAAGAGGATTGCCTCTCTCTTCCTGGCTCCCACCACTTCCTAGAGATTAAAATACACAGTCCTGCAGAACCCAGCCAATGACTCCCTCTGGTGAATGCCCTGAGAATCCCCACTAACGGGGTGTCTGTCATCCACTCGATCACAGACTCAACAGATACATACTGAATGCTCACTAGTGTCCAGGCCATTCTGTGTTCTGGAACAATCAAGATGAGCAAGAGAGAGACACACAAAATCCCTGACCTCATGGGGGAGTCTACATGTTAGAGGGAGAAGAAAGATGACAGGTAAATATGCAAAACAGAATATGCCAGATGATGATAAGTGCTGTGGGGACACACAGGAAGACCAGGAAGGGTTGTGACATCAAGCCCAATGGCCAAGGGAGGTCTCGCTGGAAGGGGGCTTTGAGCAAAGATCTGAGGAGGTAAGGGAGTCAAATGGGGGATCTGAGGATGGTGGGGCAGAAGTGTAGAGGCCCTGAGACCTCTCAAGGAAGAGCCAGGGGGCTGCAGTGGAGGGCAAGCAGCAGGGGAGGAGAGAGAACAGGGGCTGTTCTATGGTTCTGGGGCCATGTTGACTTGAGTGGGCCAGGAAGGCCCTGCAGGGCCTAGCAGAGGAATGCCACCATCCCCGGCCTGTGGAAGGGTCTCCCTGGCTGCTGTGTTGAGAGCCGACTGGGGACTGTGGGGAGCAGTGAGGGCAGAATGGAGGCTGTTTGGGAGTCTGATTTGATGTCCTGTTGGTGATGAAATCTGCGACCTTCATCTTCCCTCCATGAGACAGTACATCTTAACTATTCTTGAGTACCTTTGCCCCTACTTTAACTTGCTTTGCTCTCAGGGGAAATGGAAAACCTGTTGACTGAATTGGACGCCTGCTCCACCGTGCACCCCCACCCCTTCCTGACCGGTCAGTTGTCTTCCCTCAGAATGAAGGGGGCATTTGGCACAGGCGAAACGCCATTGATTTCCTTCCTATTATTTCCCACCCGTGAAGGGGCGTACGTAAAATGCATTCACACCTGGACAATAAGCCATTCCAACGGTCCTTACTTGAAACATTCCCACATCTTCACTTTACCCAAACTCTAATCTTTGCCTTTTCAAATAGAAATTATTTCTGTCCTTGCTCTCTGTGGCACAGCTGTGTGTCTGTGTTCTTAGGTTTTGCCGAGCCTTTTATTCTTTTTGCTTCCTTCTAATGGCTTTGTGTCTTTCCCCTCCATAATTGACTTATAGGTGACACTGGCAGCTTTGGTACAAGAGACTTATGAAGGAAAAATGGATAGGCCCAGAAGAAGTGCTTCAGGCACAAAGAGGGGGAAAAAAAAAAAGAGACTTTGAACGGAAGAAAAGGGGTATTTGCTTTGACTCTTTTTCATCCTTCTAATGGTAGGTGACACTTGCTGTGAAGGGACATAAGAGTTCCACCTCTGCATTTTGCCCACTAGAAAGGACCTGGTCAATAGTAGAACAAGTGTCCAAACAATGGGCTACAACTCTGTGATCTGTGCTTTCCGACCCTCACCCCACCTCAGTCTCCAAAAATAAAACTAACCCTAACATCAGTTCACTGTGTAAAGCAGGGCTTTCAGAACTCTGTCGCTGATATCAGAGACCAAAAATACGAAGATTCCTTTAAAAGATGCTACCAAACAGAAAGCCATCCTCAGTGAAGTAATGAAAGTTCTAAACTTTCAAGGTAGCCCAAGTTTCCCTCATTCCTATGGACATAGTGCTTGCCTAGGTGTTTTAGGTGGCCCCTCTGGGACTCTGCAAGGGCTTCTCTGTGCATATGGCCTGGCACAGTCCTTCACTGTCACATTATTCCCATGGACTGTCGACCTGACCCAACTCCCCCGTGTCCATCACATGTGAGCTACACCCAAAGAGCTGAGCTCTCTCCTTCTATCTCAGTTCCGTAGCTCCCAAGCCTGGGCTTCTTTTAAAGAATTCCTTAGGAAGGTATGTGGACTAATTCCAAGTGATCTGGAGCTGGTAGGAAATGGACCTGTGCTAATTTTTGATAATCAACATCAAAAAATGAAAACAAGAAGAGCTACCAATTTATCTTTGCCAGTGGACTCATAGATTCTCCCATCAAAGGTTGAATCTTTCAGGCTATTTCATGTCAAAAGTCCCTTCCCAAACCTGGATAGGCACCTGCAATCACAGGCAGAGCACAGCTCTGTAAATATAACTTGTAGTTCTTTAGATCCAAAATTGATTTTCTGAGGATGAATGGGGAAAAAAGTATTTATCTATTCATTTATTTATGGCTCAGGACCACTGCAAAAAAGGAAAGTGTCCATAAGGAATGAAATACAACACAGTCTTTAAACACCGTGAGCCCTTGGGTTCTATAACTTGTCCTGGACCCCTGGGAGGTGGAACTGGGACAGGCTATTTAACTTGAGACTAGGCTACCATGTGTGTAAGATGTCCATACACCGACCGAGGAGAGCTCATGAGGTCATTGTGAGGACAAGGACATGGCCCATGGAAGCAGGTAGCACAATGTCGGATGAATGAAGTGCTCAGAAGATGTTCACTGCGACTGCTGCTCCCATCATTCAGAAAAGCAAACAGATTGAGGATGGTGTGTTTATGTCATAGAGCTGAGAGGGACATTTGCCTTACATGGAACTGCATTCTCCTGGGTCACTCCTGAATTGTAGAGTTAATGATTACTGAGAGCAGATAAAGCTAAACTTTTTTTTTGGATGGTACTGGGGAACCTCTTCTTTTGAGCTACATCCCTAGTCCCTTTTTGTTATTTTTTTTAATATTTATTTTTCAGTTTTCGGTGGACACAACATTTTTATTTTATTATTATTATTTATCTTGACACAGGGTCTTACTAAGTTGCCAAGGCTAACCTTGAACTTGCCATCTTCCTATTTGAACGCCCCCCATCCCGCCCCCATTGGAGTTACCAAACTTTATTTCTAGCACCAGTCTTGGAATTGGAATTTCAGCATTGATCATGATGACTTAGCTCTTAAAGAGGAGCCCTCCTCTAGGGGAAGTGCACCCACCCCTGGCTCCGGGTGTGCTAAACACACGTTGGAGGTGTTTATAGGTCCACAGAGTGCCGGCCAGCGGGGAACAGTGTGGGCCACCTCCTGCAGGGCAGCACACACCTCTGTCTCCCACTCTGGATAACAAATCTACACTAGAGCCCAAGCTAGGACGCTGACAGAGACTCTGCATAGAGGAAATCATGACCACTGTCCAAAAAAAAAAAAAAAAAGAGCTTCTCTTTCTGAAATGGTTCAGATTGCAAATGGTATTTAGAAAATATATACTATCAATAAGTGATACTATTATATTCTGGTTTCTATTTTGTTGTTACTGTCAAAGTAATCCTGGATGAATACAATAGCATACAAGAAAAAAATACACGACGAATATATTTCTTCTTACTGATAAGTCTCCCTAATATGTAAAATTTCTAATTTTAAAGCAATAAAATCATAATTTTTTTTCCCTAAAAAATCACTGTGAGACTGAGACCAGGCTTGGTCAAGAGTTTTTTCATGCTTAAGATGTTTTTCTTAAAACCATTACCCTAAATGTTAACTATTTCATGACTATGTTACCGCTTTGCCCTGTGGTCCAGGGCTGAACATTTGTTCTTTAACCCTTGTTGGACAACAGAATCTCTCATGAATAGCAAAGTGATTAAACAGATCGTGGGCTTGCCATAACGTGGAATATTCTGAAGGCACCACATAAAATGAAATAGATCATCAGGCT